GCGTTTACCCGATCTAAAACTTACACCAGCAAAGCAGACTCAGAAGTGATGATTTTTTTACTTTCCAATATTTTTATATGTTGTCTTCTCTCTTATACCAATCTTAACTTTCCGTGGGAAGTAATCTTTTCATGACTTTGTCAGCTTCTTCAAATATTTCCGGAATATATTCAATGTGTTCCGTTTGCAACTATTTCTTTATCCTCTAAGCCACTATAGTGATCATAAGAACACAATGCAAAGTCCACTAAAACAGGTCTTTTTCAGAAGCAATACGATGTCATCAAATGTGTGCCTCGAATGGTAAATGTGTGCTTGAATTTTTCAAAATTTAAATTACTCAAATGGAAACAAAAATATATTGATCGCAACACGTAAACATTAAGAAATATAATTGCACTCTGATGAATAAGAAAACTCCCTTCTATCATCGCTCGTTTTCTTGAACATACCACCCGTGCAATTACAGCCGGGTTTATCCACTCATTTCGTTAATTACTTTTGAAGTATATATTACATATTTATTGCAATGTTTTTTAAACTTTATTAAAACAGACTGAGTAGTACTTATTAACAATTTATTTTTTTTAACTTTCAACCCTATTTGGGGTCTTTCAAAAACCTATTGTCCAAGTTTGTTGAAACTACATTATAAACAAACAACATTTTGATAAACAATTGTCAATAGTATAAAAACCGACATCAAGCCGTTAACAGTATCTGAAACTGAGTCTACTGAATCTGTTTAATTAAAGTAAAAAAAATTTCATTAAAATAGACAAGATAGACTAAATAACTAATATATTCATTAATATATATTACATAACTACAACACCTATTTACTGCACTTAGTTCAGGTACGAGTGTTTTTAAATTCTTGTTTTTGGATGAAGCCTTCTTTTAAATTAAAAGGCCCTCTTCTATTTCACCAGGGATGTCTACCTCCTTTCTCGATTCAGCGAGCACCAGAGAATTATGCTGTTTAGGTTATTGCGCTTAAGGTTCGAGCACTGTATCGTCATGGTCTAGTTAAAGGAAAACATTCGCTCGATAATAATTATAATATGAGACAATGCGATCAGCTACATCAGGAAGCAAAAGCAAACTCCCTGACTAATGTGATGAGCTTGTAATGATTAAATGTGTTTAAGATAAATTACGAACAGAATTTGTAATTACATGTGTTTGTTAACCAGTTGTAATCGAACTTTGGTCATATATTTATAAACAAGGTATTTTGAAGAGATTTGAAACCTATTTTACTATCCATATTTGCCTATACGTCTAGGCATAGTACAATTTTTCCTTATTGAAAGGAAAGTAGAACTAGAATGAAGAAATATTGGTGGAAGAAAGAAATCAAAGATCTCATTAACAAAAAGAAACAGGAACATATTTTCATGCAATTCTGATATTTATAATTACAACACTCGTCGTAGAAATCACATCCACCAGGTGTCACTATCAACAGCTCTATATAAGAAATCAACATTTAATACATGAACGTTACTTTACAACACATTGCCAAATGACATTAAACAAATGAAGACGGTTCACAAATTTAAGTTCAAAGTAAAATCTTTTCTGCTGCATAAATGTTTCTATACAATTAAAGATTATAATGACCATCAAAAAGAAAAATAATATTTATTTCATCATGATATATAAAGCATTAATTTACATTCGTATTGTCTGTTTTTTTAATATGCCCATAACAAGCAATGTACTTCAGCTTCCGGGTCAATGAACGCCTTCTTGATTAGGTTTGTGTCTAGTTTCCCCAAGTCATTGAGCAAATGCTGAGATGGCCTTTTGTTTTTGCTTCTGGACATTAATGAATGCGTTTATTGAGCTCATTTTGTTATTGTTGCGAACGTTTGTTGAGCTCAACTTTTGCTAGTAGTGGTAGGAGAAGAGCCGGGACTCAGCTATTTTGTTAGTAATACAAAAACGTTAAAATCTGCAGTGCGTTTATAGACTTTTCTATAACTTGGAAGGAAAAATGTTTAATTTTCAAAAGTTTCTAACGTCACTTTTTTTTGAACTTTTGTTCATTATTCAACTATATATAGTTAAAATGTAGGGAAGATATTCTGGAGCTCAAGAAAACGTGAGTAAATCTTACTTCTCCATCACAAGTCATATAGGTTTTACTGTTAATTACTAATAACTAATAAAACCTTATAAGCAATTATAATACGTTGTGTCCAAATCTACTGCTGTTGAGATGCTCAACAGGATATCTAGTGCTACTCCTAAATTATGTAAGAAACAAATGGTGCCACATTTCGTGCCCCACCGTGTGTGTATGTCTAATTCATTTCATTTCACATTGACATCTGTCGGCAATAAACATTTGCAACATAACACTTAAGGCAATTACTTAAACTGAATGTAACAGTTCGTCATGTTCTCACCGTATGCATTTCCGCGCTAAGATTCGAATTGCTCATTCTCATTGATCATTCCCACTCCTAGAAATATTCTCACCCACCCTTCCTCCCTGCTCGCATTTGCACTTGAGTGGCTTGCACGCGAGTCCCGAGGTCAGTGAAAATGCAAAATGCTGGGCAGACCTGGCCTAGAGACACCCAAGCACTTAAGCAATCGACCTGCTGAATAATAGTGAAGAACTTCAAAAGCTCATTTAATTAACATGAGATACGCATGAGTAATATTTGGGTGCCTCTCTAATCTAATTGTGAGGTATTAATATGTTAACTTGGTATGCACGTTAACTCGTTAACTTTGTTCGAAACCATTTATTTTCAAATAGACTATTTTACTGAATCAATTATCTTCAAGCAATATTTTATTATTTGAAAACGAAGGAATTGAATTTTCTGGTTATACCATAATACTGGGAAAAGGAACTCTAAGTTGCTAGAAAATGCACATGATTTATTTTTATTTAGTTTCGCTCTTGGGTGTATTATTGAGTTTCCATGACTGGAATTAATAACTTGCTGCTAGTAAGGAGTTTTATATTGGTTTTTAGTAAGGAGTTATTGTTTAAAAATGCGATAGCATTGTTTGGTAATCTTTTGACGATAGCAGTATTAATTCGGTCATAACCTGGAGATATTTTATTTGGCATTTTTTTGATTATTTGTTTAATTTCAAATGGATAAATTAATTTAATTCTGTGAGGAGTTCCTTTATATAAAAGGAGCGTTTGAAAATTGTAAAATTTCATCATGCTTGGCATTTTTATGGGATCATTAGGAGTGAATGTGATAGCAAAATGAGCTGCTTGAATCTCGGCTTTCTCCATAGGCGAATATTTTTTTCCAGTATCAGTTGTCAGTGGGGGAATGCTGTTCCTTTTCCGTAGAATTCTCTTTGTGAATTGCCACAGAGAATTGCTTTTTGTCCATCAATAAATTTATTATATTTTTATTGGTTGTATTTATTGATTGCCTTCTTTGAATTTTAATTTTATTGTTCTTGAGTTCAATGGTAAAATTTTCTATTAACTTAGATTTGATTTCTTTTATAAATTCGGTATGATTGCTAATTCCTGTTAAATGGATAGGTTTTTTTTACTTCTACTGGTACTTCAGGTAACTGTTCATTTAAAAAACTGAATCTATTTGACACATCTACATTATAGTGTTTGCCAGTTGCCAGTTGTTATCGGGGTTCAGTTCTGAGGAAAGTTCTGTCGAGGTCACGCGTTTGGCGCCTCTGTCACTGGCGTCGCCTCCGTCCTCGCGGTTGCGCTTGCCTTGCATTACCTTGCTTTGTTGCGTCTCTGAATGGGTTGATCCGGTTGTTTCTCTTGAGATGGTACTTACCCAAATTCGATAGACACCGACGATGATTCAGTCGTACAAGAACTGTTGAATGAGTGTTGTTGAAGCTGCGACATGCTGTCCTCGATGCACTCCATGCTGCTTGCTGCCCGTGAAGTTCAGGCTGCCTTCCGCGACCGCCATGTTGGTTGGATATTCTGAATTGTAAACTTATTCTAGGGCTTGAGAAACTAACTGCCCAGAGCGAAGTGAAGGTTTAGGCTGCACACTGGGTATTACGAGTCTCTTTAAATAAATACTTCGCGAAGCTGCCGAATTGCTAACGCGCGTGGCGTAACCAGGGGGGGGGGGTTGAAAGGGCCCGCTCCGAGGCGCCCAGAAGGAGTGGGGGGGCAGCTGGTGCAACTTCTCCCAGGCCCCGACTTCGTTGGGGTCCCGGATTTTTTTTTCAAAACCCACAAAAATTTGATTACTTCCAATTCAAATGAACCGCTGAATGTTTTTTCTGTTGCTTTAATACATAAATTTGTTTATAGGTCGGGGAGAGGACTTTTTGTTTGAAATAAAGGGCTCTCGTGAATCTACTTCTCCTGGTCACATTTGTGTAATATCACTTAATTTAATCAAAATAAAACATTTCATAGATATCACTGTATGTAAAGGAATATTTCCATGTGAAAAGACTCCTGCATATTTTATTTGAAGCTAACAATTAAAAAAACATAATTTCAGAACTATTTATGGGGATTCGAACTGAAATCTGCCTCTCCCCCTCTCCCTTAAAAAAAGAACTTTTTGATCCTTCCCCTTCTCACGTATTGAGCTGGAGTGGACGATACTCTGCTGAACTGCGCTGGCGACCACATCTTTTCTACGCGGAGCTGCAGTGAAGCTGCAGATTGTGACGTCAGCTGTGAGTCAACAGCGCTATTTAATGGTGCTGAGAGGCCGAACCGAAAATGCCGTGTTATTGCCCACTCGAGCTTCGCAGAAGCAGAGGGCGATACACCCATCTTCCGCATTCTTCTAACGATGCTCATTTCTTTGAATCAGAATAGCCTTGCGAATGTACCGAGAGGAGGACAGTAAAAGCGTTTGTTGCGAAAGTTTTGTAGATTGTAAAGGAGGCTTGACCGCCTGAAGAACCGCCTCAGACTAGACTATTTCTCCCCTACGATGTATCTAATGAACGGCCAAGTGATTCTTGTAAGTGAAAATCAAGGAAGTGCTCTCGCTTTCAGGAACATGGCGGTGAGCCTGACCATGTTGGCCGGGCAGCTGGGCACCGTGCTGGGCAACGTGGCTTTCCCGCTGCTGCTGGAGCTGGACTGCGAGCTGGTGTTCTTCCTCCTGGGCGGCATTGCTCTGGGTACAGCCCTCGGCCTTCACGGCTCCCTTTCTCTTTCTCTTTCACACGCCCGTTATACGTTAACCCACTAAAAGAGAAGATCACCGATATTAATTGATTCGGCGACAAGTAAAAATTACGTCACAAAACTTTGCGTCCGTTAATATTAAACGTTAATCATGGTGTTTAATAGGCACATTTGTATTATTTATTTCTGAAATACTCAGTTCACTGTAATGTAAAACTAATATTACTTTTCGGAATAACAAGAATCATAGTAGGGAGGGTTGTTTTCACCTATTTAGATTAGATTAGATTAGATTATATTTATTCAGTAAAAAACAGTAAAAACTGTACGTGTAGGGGGAAAAGATTATCTGCGCACGTTTTCTTGAGTTCCAGAATCCCTTCATATATTTCACTTACGCATTTCTTTAAAGCATTCACGCGTCTTATTACAACTATCTATAACTATTTTCTTATACGTTTGTCCATTACACTGAGTAACGATCCCACAAAAATAACAAGACGGTTTGGATGCGTGTCAGAAGTAATAAGACATTGAATGGATCTATATTTTTAATTTCAAATATGCTCGTGAATCGATCCAAAACTAAGCAGCCTCTGGCCATACCAGCGGTGCCAATGGTTAGATACCAGCAATTAAAAAAAATACAAAAACAATGAGAGTTAGATTTTGACTGAAATTCTAATACTCGAGTACGTTCATACGTTACTACTACATTCTCATGTTCACTGTGTCACCGCTTATTATGACACAGCTGACGTCATAGGAAAGGAGGAAAGAAGCTTCAGTATTCGTGTGTGCCGTTTCAGAACAGACTTTTTTCCCCTCTAACACATGGTGTAGCCACGTACTTTACACGAAGCACTACGGACACTTTCAAAACTTTCTCAAAATCGCCTGCAATTTTTTCTTTACACTTTTGATAGGCATAGTGCTAAGTGCACTTTATAAGATGACATAAACGCCTTATTACACTATTTTTTGTTTTTTCAAAAATTAAAAAAATGTAATTTCTTTGACTTCTCTCACGTCGTTAATATTTACAATAGCGGCATTAGCATGACGTTTTTCAAATCAATATTTGTTTTTTGTTCTTATTGTTTTTTTAATACGCGAAAGTCTCTGCCATTCTGTAGCCCCACTAGTTTTTATTAGTTGTTGGGTGATATATATATATATATATATATATATATATATATATATATATATATATATATATATATATATTTATAGGAGCGTCCTTTACAAAAACCATTTTGTTCTTTATTAAAATATCAAAGATATTAATAAGCCTCCTATTTAATTTTTTTTTTGTAAAATGTATTGCCAAACACAATTAATCACCAATTCCTCTGTTTACAGGTTGTGCCGGTTTGTGTCTGCTACTCCCTGCCTCGGAGAAGGCAGATTCGTCGTGAAACCACATTACTCTTGCGCTGCGTTGAAACGAGGACGAATATAGAGCCTTTATTGCGCTAGTGGGTTAGAGTCTGCGGCAAGAAATTGCGTATTGCGCGGCAAAATTTTACTCAGAAAAAAGTTATAGAAAACTATTTTCACTTTTTTGGAAGACGCGCTAAGTCAACATATATAATAAAAAATATAATTTTAAGTGAATAGGATTAGTATTATCTAACATGAAACAAATTTGTGGACCAAGCAGAGTTTAAATAGAGTCTACTTTCCCCCTTACGTAATGGCTCAAAGAAAAAGGCTCCCATTTAACGTGGAGCGTTTTTTGCTGGAGGGTAAGCACAGATTCAGTTCCGGAAGCGACGAAGGTCTCTGAATTTCGTTTGCTTCTGTGTAGCGACGGCCATTTTAATTGGATCAAAGCAAACACTTCTAAGTTAGAGAAGCCACTTTCAGCATGATTCCAGTCATGATGTAACTACGTTAGCTGTCGCTATCCTCAGGATGCGAGTGAGGCATTTCAATTTCTGCCCATAAACTCATATCACGTAGTTACATATGCGCTCGGCCAATGAAGCTGCTATTCAAACGTAACTTGGTGACAGTAAACACAGCTACGTAGGGTGTATTGGAAAGTTGTAGTTTAAAATGTCACACTGTAGTGTAAAGTGTAATGCATATTCTCAATGGGAATAAACAACAATACAAGTTGTTCGGTTTTCCTAAAGAAGAGCTATACACATAATCAGAATGACCTAAATGGCATAAAAAGTTAATACAAAACTATTATTATTATTATTATTATTATTATTATTATTATTATTATTACTGATATCATAGCCCATTCAATTCCTCGCGGCCTTCGTAACCGACTAAAAGCGTAAAGTATCAAAACAATTCTTTAGTTCTTCTTCTTCTTCAATCCTCCCCCTTGTGATTCTTATTTAACCACTGAAATAGTTTTGTTCTTGATGAGTGAGCTTCATTTTTATTTCTCAATTTCTGTATTTATCATTCAATCTGTTCATCTTCTTCTGCCAAGGGCCTAACTGGTCAAAGGCTAAAGGTAATTATTCAATAAAAAAAACTTCCTCGCGGGAAAAGACCTCCTGAAGATTCAGGAATAGTTGTAGAGCATTAATCAGATCAGTCATTTTTGATGCTAAGGGTTGGTAACATTTCATTAAACCCTTCAATTCAGTTAGTACACATATATATTTGAACTTTTCACAGATTCTTTGTCCTATCACAGTTCTTTACATATTTCAGTCTTTTATAGTTACAGTTATCCTACTACCCTTATTTATCCTAACACAAACTACAACCTATTAACCTTAAAAATGGGCCTTATCATCTATTTTCACGGATCACATTTTTAATAACTGTATTAGAAATAACATAACACTTAGTCCTCCGAGTTTGTAGTCATTTCTCTCCTCTTCCCTTCCACCACAACCTATTTGACCTTCTCTTATCCATTTTTTTCAGCTAAACAATATCTTAATGCACCATCTTGTCTTCTGCCTTCCTAAGCTTCTTTTCGCAATTCGCGGATCCCAAGTAGTGGAGATAAAAAAAATGGTGATCCAAATTAATCATTGTTTTTTAACGCTTCGCACGTACTCATTTCAAATAAACAGTAAAACTCACGTTTCAATACGTTTCGTTTACGAATTATTAGAAAAACAAACTCGTGCTATTTTAGATTTGTTCATCGGCTGGCGAGAAAATTATTCATAAGCAATCTTGCAAAATTTAATGCACTGAAAACTGTGGTTCGTAGCACAATATTGCAAATATCATATTCTATCTAAGGCAAGATTAACTATCAAATGACTTTATTTTCAAATTTTGAAGATTCCGGAGCTCATTGTCAGCGACAGTTACATTTTAATTATTAGTATCTAATAATACATTATTTATTATATTCTATATGCGAGTGTCAATTGTTTAAAATAGAATATGAATGATACATTCAACTTATATCAAGTGATATTGTTGATGTAAATATTAAATTTCATTTGATATAGAAGTTGCGTATAGCACCCATGACTATATAATTGAACATAGCCACTATACATCCTCTTTGAACAATTAAGTCTTTCTGAATGCAATAAATAATGAACTATATTGTCTCTTTTATATTCCTAAATAGCTGACCCCGGCAGACGTTGTTCTGCCCTTCATCTCCCTCTTTCACCTTCCCTTTCCCTTTCTCTCTCTCTCTCTCTCTCTCTCTCTCTCTCTCTCTCTCCATCTCTTCCTCTCTCTTCATATTTACCTCTCTCTTCATCTCCCCATCTCTATTCACCTCTCCCTCTCTCTTCGGCTCTCCGTCTCTCTCTCTCTCTCTCTCTCTCTCTCTCTCTCTCTCTCATACACATTTAGCTGCAGGTTCTGCACGGCTCTGAGCAGGTGGAGTAATATCGAGTAGCGCCGGGCCAACAAAAATGTAATAGAATGTTCAAAATATCTCATACTGTAGACTTCTGTGAATCTTCTGTCCTTAAAAAAACTTTCAGGTGGATATGGACAGATCAGCCACAAAAGAGTTTTGCAAAGTTTTATTTATCTACGTATTCGCAGTATCGCCGGGGAAAATAATAAATTTGATGAAGAAAAGCCAGTAGACGAACACGGTCCCAATTCCCTCCCATGTAATACACCTATTCAGTAGTATTCAATAATAATAATAATAATAATAATAATAATAATAATAATAATAATAATAATAATAATATTTTCATTTCTTACATTTTGTTATTTCTTCAAGACGAATTTATGTTCTTTATTCAATGATTTGAAAATCACGTGTGACATATTAAGGCATAAAGATATGAGAAAAAAATTACAGAACCCGATTTTTGAAAATTTAAAAATCCACGTTAATAAATGGGAATTAGTGAAAAGTACACTGTGAAGGACCATGCAGAACATTGGAAATAACCTTGCGAAAGAAACTTATGGGAAATCTCATTCAATACAAACAACAATAAGGGCCCAAAACTCATCCGAATACGTCTACTAGATAGTTATACCAGTTCAAATAAAGGAAAGGATCTCTCTTTTTCATTGTATGTACTATCATAGAGTTAACTTATTAAGACCAGGTTGTGAAAACGGTAGAAAATTACGTATTAAAGGAAGATTACTTTATTTTTAAGCGATTTTGTATGCTTATAATGTGTTTTATTGTGGAATAATATTCAACTCAAGCAAAAAATACTCACCTTAGTAGATAAACGAAACTAACTCTCCTGGACAAAACTTGCTAATGTGTTTTATGAATGTACATTAAATAAATAAACTATTATTAAAAAAGAACTTTCAAATCAATGATCGTATTTCCACATGGGCACGGAGGGACAACAAAGGACTTGAAGCAAGACCCACGAGGAGTCCCTATAAATTCAAACCTCCCCCTACATTAGCAGAATCCGCTATTCATAGAATAGAAATAGCTTCCAGTGGTTAATTTGAATCACGAGTAAATACATTCTTTGTTTGATTAGAGAGAAGTCTGGGCCTCGAGCGCGTTGCTCCAGCTCCTCCTACAACCTCCTTCTGGGCGCCGCTGGATGCACGTCTATACTGAAGGCCTGCGGCACCGTGGGTTAAAAGCGTGCAAGAAACATTCCCATACTAGTAGATTGATTAGTGCTTCCGGGCGCCCCATCGGCGAAGGTCCCTAGTTCCGTAAGTGTGACGCAAGTACTTATCACGGGAGGTGGCGGTGAAGTCCGGCACCGACCTATACGCGGCACGCGTTGGGGATTTCTCCCCAACAAGATATCTCCCACCAGTCGGGCAACCTTTAAGCTCCCGACGTGTGGGTAGTGTAGTGCATGTAAGTGTATAAGAGTAAGGGATGAGGACAGGGCAAGGGAGAGGAAAGAAAGATCGCGCGGAGTTCATGGCCCGTACTTCTCCGGCACTCGCCGGATGTTGATCGGAGAAACCAAGGAAAACAACCGACCAGAGCAGCCGGTCGCTAGAATTCTGATCCGGGTAGGTCTGAATTCGACCAAGTTCTCTAGCTAGTGTGGAAAACCGGGACTCGAACATAGGACTTCCTTGTCAGAGGCACTGCAGTGCCATTAGCTGATTCCTTGAGCTCCTGAAGTCTGTCCTATTTTAGCATTTCTGCCAAGATGACATCCTCTTGTTGCAATAAACCCTCTCCAGTAGATCTGTTCCCCAAGTGTGCAAAGTTTAACCATAAGAGCAAATCATGAATTCACCATTTGAGTCATAAAACAACCCTGTCCTGCGTGACTGACCCGTATTAACCAGCGTTCTGCTTTATCTTGCGTGACTTAACGCCACTAATTCCTACTTGCACTTGTATTTTGAAATTCCCCTTACAGATATTGTCAACGTTCAAGGGCACAAAAGAAGAAAATGGACTTATCATGTTCAAGACATGAACCTTATGTCTTTCTTAAAAAGGAGTTGTCCAGGGTAATAATAAATGATGAATGGATTTCAAATTTATCTTTGCGACCTAACGTGCTTCACAAAAGACACCGAACCTCATATTGATTAACAATTAGCTCAGCTAAGTATGGTCAACCATGCCGAGACACATTGTCAGTCAATCCATTCAAGATTGACATTATGAATGATGGTTTAAGATGATTACATCACTCACATTTTTGTAATGTACATCACTATATTAAAGATCTATTACAAGGAACGTGTTTGCAGAGGTGAAAATGAAAATAACTTCGGTATCGTTGAAATTTGTTATATTCGTAACAAGTAGACACAAATTTAACAAAGAAGAAAATAATACAGTATATTGAAGAGTTCACGGAACTACTGAGGCCCAGCCAGCACGAGGAGTGCGACTTTCTGGCGCTGGTCGGCAGAGTGCGTTAGCTTACGGGCAGACGACGGAATGCGCGACTATACATCGAGGGGCCGACTGCACAAATGGCGGTCGGCTAGTCTCCTTTCTGCTTCTCTGCTTCAGAGATGCGGTTTAAGGTCTTGTAGGTTGAAACAATGCAATGTTTAGTGATATGATTTTATTTCACTTCTCTAGAG